CAGTAGCTCTTCAAGGGAAAGGGAGCAGGGGACTGGTGATGTATGTACAGGTCACTTGCCTGAAAGAAAAGCCTCTTCTTTTTTTTTATGCCCAGTTTTTGTTGTGTTGGGCTTGTGCTGGGCACACACGGGCTGTTGTTTTTTGGCTTCTTTTTTCATCTGTATGACATAACAGTGGGAGGGTGGCTGTGGCCTTTGATTCCTTCTTACAGTCTAGAGGTAGAAAAGGTGCAGTTGGTGGTTTGTTACACATGTGGGACTTTTTTGGCTTCATACTATGTAGTTGTGCAACCCTAGTGTTGTTGCTCTTCTTGTGGTGAGTTGACTTTGCTGAAGACAGTATCACTAATTACTTCCTCTCCTGGTGAGTTTTCAGAAGTTGAAGATATTAAATCTGTGTTTTGTCTTGATTCTGCTCCTGGCTTTGATTTTGCTGGAGGGATGGGTGCAGTCATGATCATTTCTCTGCCTGCTGGGCCCTGCTTATCCTGAGCTAGTGGTGAATAGTCTTGAACAGTTAGTATGTGACAGTTGGTGCTGTGTCTGCTGATATTCAAGTTGGGAGTTAATACTGCCTCTGAGAATGTTTTGTGAGGGTTCTGTCCTGAGGCAAGAGTTGTGCCTAGGGTGGCTTGGCTTTCAGCCTCACAGAAGGGCCGTAGCTGTAGCTCTGGCAGAAAGCCTTCAAAGCTGCCTGCAGCACTGTAGCTGTCTGAGGAACAAGACCTGGTGCTCCTCTTGATGTTTATTGTCTTGAGGTAGAAACTTGAATAAGGTCATTTAGTGATGAGCCAATGCATTTCAGAGCTTGAATTGAAGAGAATGTTAAAAGGTGGCTGAACACCAGCTTTGTGTTAGCATGTCCAGCCTGGATAAGCTGTGGAAATGGTGCCACAGAATAGAGCAGGGCAGGAGTTCACAGTGGTCAAGTGAGAATGAAGTGCTGTTTATATCAGGCCAAGAAGAGAAAAAAATGGGTCAGCACAATTTAAAGGAAATTTTATAAACTTAAGAAATGGGATGTTTGGGCCTCCACGAGGGTAAAAGCCTGGTTAGATATTTTAGAAAGTTTTTGGAAGTAAGATGATGAGTGGAATGCTGATATACCTGTGTGCAAGAGGTCCATAAAGGATACTGGACAACTCCATACTTAAAGCAACAATGGAAAAGCCTTGTAGTCAAATCATGTTTCTCGCTGAGTGACTGCATAATACAGTATTCCTGTGGAGTGGATTCAGGGCTTGATTCAGGGAGTAGGGGTTACTGTCACTGTGTCACTACTGGTGACAGACACTACCCTGCACAGTGTTTTCAGTGTACCAGTGAAGGTGTGAAACATGGCAGTAGCAGGAGACTTGACTAAGCTGTATAGCAGTACAACTAGATACAGCACATGCCACTTTTGAACCTTTGTGATTCACCATCAGCTAGTCTGGAGCAGGCCTGAGGCCCTTCCCAACAGTTGTATATCAAATGTGTATATTTTTGAGCTACAGGGTTTGTTAGTGTGTAAGTAACAGTTTTGCAGACTAATGCCAGCAATGCACTATACAACAAATCAAAAAGAAGGTGTCCGATTATGCCCTCTCTGACTTTAAGCCACCAAGGTCTTAGTGTCCTCAACACAGGTAATTGAACTAGTTTTCAGCTTATGGGATCAGCAGTGAACCTGTAGACTTCCTGAGGGTGGGCAAAATAGCCAGTCGTTCAGCTGCTGTGAGATTTGGAACTGATAATCTCTGTGTTGTGTGGCTCTCAAGGACAGAGGATTTATTTGCCAAACATAGTGCAGGCTGTACCTGCATTGCATTGCATCACATGCAGCTAAAAAGTTCTACTGGCTGAATTCATTTTAAGTGGGGAAATCACTGGGGTACCTGTTTACACACTGCCCATTTTAGTGCTGAAAAGCTAGACCTGTCTGTTTTTCTTCACAGGCTCATTTTGTTGTAATGCTTATGTGTCTTCTTCCAGGGAAGGGTCTTAATGCTGGTCAGGTGTTTTCTATACATTTGCTGTCCTGATTCCAAATTGGTTTGGACTTTGGTATTTTCCTTTTAATATTTGTGTAGCTTTCCCATTGAATCAGTATTGGCTTTTAAACATTCATCTTGGTTGAACTAGCATACCTGGATGGAAGGCATGTATTCTAATTCAAGGCATGGCATGAAAATAAAATTTCTCTTTGGCAAGAAGAGCTTTTTAAACATTTGCTGGGTGGAAAACCAAAAGTGCTGTGAAGACAATCTGCATGACCATGGTACTGTCAAGGGAGAAAAAGATTTGAGCCTTGGTAACTCAATCACTTTACAAATCTTCCTTTAAAAAAACTGGGTCTGAAAACACCTAAATCTCTACACGGTGCTCAGGGACCTACCTTTTAAAAAGCTGTATCATTCTCTCTGCAGTGTCACATTGAGACCCAGCAGAAAAGTTGTATAGTTTCTAATGAGTGCTTTGTGCTGTTATTGCTATGTGTTGAAAGGGTTTCTGCCTGCCTTCCACAGGGAAGTCCCAGTGGGTCATCCTCACCCACAGCGCTGGCCATGGCATCACTACACCACCTCTGCTAATGTTCTGGAAGATGCCAGAGGAGGGACCTTCTTTGCTCTGATGAGTTATTGACATTGTGTTCCAGAGTATTTTCTAGCTCAGGAATTTACCGAACTGAAGATTAAAATTAATTACTTCCTTTTTTCCACTTTCTTTGATGTTGCTGCAAAAAGCTTTTTGGTAGTATGGAAAGGTAGGAGAAATTGCAATGGTGCTTCTCAGAAGGCTTCCTCTAATGTAGTTCTACATTTCTATTCATAGCAGTTCAGTTTTGTCTCACAGATCTTAAGTAAAGTATCTTTCTCCTATGTGTTCCCAATCTTGATATCCCAAGTCCCCATTATATCAGTGACAGCTTATCTCAGAGAGAGGGGCCCGTATAATACAGATTTTTTGCAGTGGCCTAAAGGTAGACAAGTTGTTGTTGGGATCATCCAGTGAGTACATGGCAATGGTATGAAAAACAGAACCTGGATCCCAAGATTTTTATTGTATTGCTTTGGCTATCATCCTTCCCTCTTTGCAGAGAAGGTCAAGAGGAAAAAAGTTCTTCATTTCCCCATAACTCTTGCCGATGAGCCTTCAGTTGGGAGGATTTATTTCTTCACTTAATTAAGGGACTACTGGAGACCGAGTTCCCTGTTTCACTTCACTGTTAACAGAAATCATCTTTCTGAGTGGATCATACTCATTCCCTGTGTAAAGCTTAATTTGTCTTATTATTGCCTTCCCACATGGCAGCCTGTCAAGATGCCACAGCTCTTAGGAGCCTTACAGCTCTGTGTTGCATGTGGTCTAATTGTTGTAGAGATAAGATTGTACTGTCCAAAAACATGATGAATCCTATAAGATTGCCATAAGGCATTGCTTCAGCCTTGCCCAGGAGATGGTGTTATTCCAGAGCACTATTAGTAGAAGAGGCGATTAGTGTGTCTTTAAGTGAATGGTGCCAATGGGAATGGTATGTTAGGCAGGGCAGCTGCAAGCTCAGCCTGAAACACAACCACCGGTGAAACCCAATCTCTACTCCACTGCCCCATGCAGGCTGACTTCATACTGTGTTGAGTGACCACGTGGGTTGTGTCAATGCCTGAAATGTAACTGCTTTCTGGCAGCAGAGCAGATCCTGCCTGTACGGCTGATAATGTGTTACTTGAAGCAGGGGAAAAATTGCATTTATGCATCTTTTCTGTAGCTGAACTCAAAAGCTCCCTTTGTCCTTGGTTATGTTCTCTTGCCTATGTCCTGGGTTACCTGAGTGGAGAGTGTTCACTTTTTTTTTGTGCTAAATGAAGGTCTGGGTGGGGGTGGAGGGTCCAAATAGCTATTAAGAAAACGTGAGATGATGTTTCCCAAGGATGCTTCCAACAAAACTTGTTATCTGTGGGGTGTGAGAATCCTCCCTCGACTAGGATTTCCCCACAAAACATGCTTCCAAGTGTAACACTTACAAAGCTTTTGGCAGGATAGTCTCCTCCTCATGACAGATGAAACTGGGTGCCAGCAGCTCATTTAGTTTTATCACTTGCAATCACAGTTGTTTGGCTGTGCAGAGCTTTATCTCATGTCCCTTGGTCTAAAATGCCTCACAAGACAGAGCTCCCTGGAGTAAGGCGAGGCTGTGCTGCAGCACCTGGAGAGCATTCATTGAGAGCCAGGCTCTCTTCTTTTGCTAAGTCCCTGCCACTGCTGTGAGCCACAGTGGGAGAAGGGGGTGACCTTTCTCCTTTTTTGTGCTGGGTGAAAGTTACTCTCCTGCAGGAGCGCAGAGCAGTGCAGAGCCCTATGTGTGGCTGGAGCTCCCTGCGATAAGCTGGTTGTTTTCTCTTCTTTCCCTTCCTTGCGCTGCGCTGGGCTTATCTGGACGCCTGAGTTATGTTAAGTAGCGGGTGCATGCTTGCTCTCTGTTCTCCTCGCTGCTTTTGCTCCTTGGATTTCAATTCCAAACATGGTTATCCATTTGGGGTCTCTCTCGGTTCCGCTGCCAAGAGATACACATTCCACACTCAACACCAGCTCTCTCTGCTGCTCTCTCACGGTTGCTATTCCATTTGCCGGAGTGCAGGCGAGACAGGCAGTGCAACGGGATCTCTGTCCTGTCTGTGAGTTTTCCAGCTAATGGCCTCTACTCTTTTTTTAACTAAGCTTTTTTGGCCTCACATTTCCCAGCTTTTTTTCTCACTGTTGTGGCTAAGAAGGGGACCAGCCGACGGTTTGTGAGCCACAAAGAGGAGAAACGAGCCCTTTTGGAATTTTTTGGGTGCAAAAACATTCGGCGTCACTTTAACATGTCGCTCTGAAGTACTGCTGTGGGACCAGACAGTGCTCAAGAGGAGGACGAGGAACAGCTACCTAGCAGCTCTGGTTTCAGACCTCTGCAGCACCCTTTGTGTATGACAATTCATTTTGAGCACAGGACGGCTGGGGAGGGTGGGGAGTGGGGAAGGATGAGCACAAGCAGCCTCTCGTGGGACCAGGCTCTTCTCCAGCCTCCGGTGTGTGATGCCTGGAAGGAGTTTATGGAGGGAGCAGCCTACCAGCTGGCCAGCTGCATTGTCCTCCTGGGTTACATGGGAGGAAGTGGCATCTTTGGGTCCTTCTATATCTTTGGCCTCCTGGCCCCAGGCTACCTCTGCTATGCTCTGTGGGGCTGGCTGAACGCTTGTGGGCTGGATATCTTCATCTGGAACATGCTGCTCGTCCTCGCCTGCTTGCTTCAGCTGGCTCACCTGGCTTACCGGCTCCGCAGAAACACCATCCCAGAAGAGTTTGACCTCCTCTACAAGACCATGTACCTGCCCTTGCAGGTGCCCCTAGAGGTCTACAAAGAAATCGTGAAGTGCTGCGAAGAGCATGTCCAGTCACTAGCCAGAGACCAGAATTACGCGGTGGAGGGCAAGACGCCCATTGATCGCCTCTCGTTGCTGCTGTCTGGCAGGTAAAGTCTCCCCCAGACTCTGAACAAAGTCTGACAGCAAAGCACTGTGGCTTGTTGTATTTTCACCCTCTGTAGTAACCAGGGTGAGGATTGTTTCCCTCCTCTGACAGGGTTTTTAGATATGCATCAGTTTATAGGGGAAAGGGCAAATTTGATTTTGAGGGTTGTTTTAGTTTTCTTCTGTTCTTCTAGCTTAAGAGTATTTCAGGAAATGTTTTACAGACTTGAGCTATGTGCAGTGAAGTGGCCAGCTCAGCCTTGCCCGTTGATGAATCTTAACCTCTTTCTCTGTCATTTTGAAGTGACCTTATTTCTGATGGGAGCAGATTGGCTGTGAGAAAGTGTTTCTCAAGGCAGGAGGGCAGTGCATCTGGACCTGTGGTCTCTGGGGATACCAGACACACCTCAGTGATGTGAATAGCTGTGCACTGAGTATGCACTGAGTCCTCAGTTCACCTGCTTCTCTGTCACAATATTCAGAGAGGATCCACCCCTGTTCCCAACGCCCCAACCCTCAGGGCTTTCACATTTTTCACTTTGAGTGTCATCTCATCAAAAGAGGGAGTACTCTCCTGTGGTCAATGCTGCCTCATCAGGCCTCTTTCTGTGCTATCATGCATTTGTGATGTTCCCTCCTCTGATCCACCACAGAGGACCTCAGGGACCTCTAGACAGTTGCACTGGGGATTTGATTGAGTGATCCATGCTGATCAAGTGCTGACATCTGTTCACCTGTGATCCTGTGGCAGGTTTTTGTGAGCATGTTCACTTAATGATTTGCAAAATCCAGATGCATACAAATAGTAATGATGAAGATGCAGCTTCCCAACAGCTGCCAGGCACTTGGCACTGATGTTAGGTGAGAATGGGAAAGGAAGGAGATCTGTAAATGGGAGCAGTGCTGATCTGTAGGAAGTGTGTCTCACAAGGATTTTCCTTTGGAAAGACAAACCCAGCATCACCTGAGGCTCATGTTTTACTGCAGTGGTCCATCCTCTCCACTGAGGGAACGTGCAAAGAGGAAGGGCTGACCTACCTTTTTTTGTCTTAGTTTCTTAACCTCCCAGGTTAAGACCATCCTGGGACCACCAATCAATGCTGAATTGCAAAGCACTGTCAGGAAATTTGGTATATGTGTTTCCATTAGTGTATTTCCCCTTACCAAACATCTCTGCTGAGCAGCTTGCTCTGATGTTTACTGTATCTGCAAATAATGTTAAACAGGGAGGAGTCTGTGCTGTCTTGCCCTGCACTGCATAATCTGATGTTGCTCTGTGGGCATCAAAATGCTGCAACAGAAGGTGAGATGGTGCTAGTGGGTAGTTGTTCTGCTCTCTTCTGCAGTGGGAAGTATGCATACTGGCTGATACAGGATGTTCCATGACAATGAGACTGGATTTGCATTTCCTGGTCCCCACTCTGTTGCCTTCTGAAGGCCTTGAGGATTCACCAGAGCACAGCTACTATTAGGGTGTTCCCTCTTAAACTGAACAAGGTGGGTCTTGGATATGCAGAATATACCTGGATCAGGAACAGTGCCTTGCAATCCCTGACCCTTCCAGTCAGTGCTCTCAGCCAACTTCAAGCCAGCAGTGAACTGAGTCTTGTAACTCCTGAAAGCCAGAATTGCCTGTGTGCATCACACAACAGGGGTACACGGTGACAGGGAGGCAAGAGGCCCCAAATCTGGTGATGCAGAGCTATGAATAGAACTCCAGAGTGCCCTGCCATCGCCCTTGCCCCAGGCCTGTGCAGGTCCTTCTCTATTCCCACAGCAGAGCTGAGTGCACGTTTGACCTTGAAAAAGTAGGGGAAAGGGATACTTGGAAGGCCAAGGGAAATTGAGCCGCAATGTGCAGCAAACTATGAGCTCACAGTGTGATCTGTCAGGAACGATGGCCAGTGCGATTTCTGGGAGTTGTAACAACTTCCCAACATGGAGACAGGGAATGCCCTCATGCAACCCTGGGGCCAGGAGGAAGATGCAAGTACAAAGAGCCACAGGCTAGCTTAGAAGTACCTAGAAAGCAGCAGCAGTCTTGTGGGCTGAGAAGTTCTGGTTTAGGACCAAGCACTGCACCTGTGAGGGCTGTCTTTGTAGCAAGAAACAGATGTAGTATGGGGAAGTGGCAGCAAATAGTTTCTCACAGAGAAAGGAGGGATAGCCCCGTGACTGGAGCACCTGCAGCTGTCCCAAGAGGGTATGAGATGCATGTGAAGCAAGAATTTCTTTCCTCCCTGGTGGGGCACACCGTGTTAGCTGATTAAGTTTGTGTGACATCTATTTTGTGGTCTAAACCCGTGTGCCTCACCTGTCCTCTTTGCAGGATCCGAGTGTGCCAGGATGGACAATTCCTTCACTATGTCTTTCCATACCAGTTCCTGGACTCTCCAGAATGGGAGTCACTGCGACCCTCTGAGGAAGGAACTTTCCAGGTAACCCTGTGTGGCCCCACAGCAGCCCAGCTTCGCTCCTTGCTGCTTCACTGCATGTCTGAGAAGGGGTGGAATGGCTTCATTATGCCATTCAGAGCTAACCAGGAATTCTTTCCTCCCCTTCCTTGTGGTTTAGCCAGCACAGGATTGTGTGATCAGCTGTTTTACCTCTTTTTCTACCTTCCTCTGAAGACCTCAGTGCACGGTCCCATGTTAGCTGCTAGCAAGGAGGGTGGGGCACGGTGCTCCTTCCTGTTTAGCAGGGAGTGGAGGTATCAGATTGCTGGCTCTCTTCCATTATAGCATTCTCTAGTACCTGTATTGATTCATTTGCCCTCACACTGCTAGCAGGGTGCGTCATCCTAGCATCAGGATGGCAGCTGATGGCAGGGAATATGCAGCAGTGATGTAAATCCATAAATATCCTGTTCCTCACAGAAGTTTCTGATGGTCATGTGTTTGGTGTGGAGAAGCAGAAAGGATGATTCACACCCGAATATGGTTCTTTCTGAGCAGAAGAATCCCTTGCTGAGAGGCCAGACCAATTCTTACTTGCAGCAACTAAAAGGATTTTGGTCTTGCTGTCAACACCCCACAGTGTTTGTATGGCTTTCCTTCTGGAGAAGATTACTTAAGCCTACATCCCTCTGTCTTTAACTCACATCCCAGGACAGCCTGATACCTGTCAGGATGTCAGTCTAGATTATGTCAATCAGGGTATATGAGGAGGGATTTTGCTAATCCTGTGGGAGCATGGAACGGTCATGAGGGTTTGAGGATGCTTTATCATGAGGGCAGCCACAGCTGCAGGAGATGGCTGGTGGTGTGACTGTGGCACAGGGCTACAGCTTGTGAGCAGAAATAGGGATGTTGGACCAAGGTAATGAGGTAGAGAAGGCAACAACAGCATGGCTGTGCTAGGGGTGGCAGTATCTCATGTTTGGCACAGGTCTTCTACCTGGCTGTAGACTGCTGCTAGCTCCTAGGCTGTATTTGCCCAGGAGATGGCTACCCAATGCTCGGGCAGGGAACTGGCCGTCTGGATGGTATGCAACCTGCAAAGGCATCTGCAGCATTTACTGAGCTAATTTCTGTGAAACTGAATGTTCCCAGACCTTCCAGGGGTCTTTATCTGTCGTGTGTGAGACATCTTGGGAGTAAGCTGGTGCCAGACTGCACCATCCCTGCCCGCACCATGCTCTTGGCACCTCTCCTGCTCTGCAAGACAGGCCAGGCCAGTGAGGTCAGCTGCACCTGGCACCAGGATGGGGAATTAGAGTCCTAGGTGGGGAAGGGCTGCAGCCACATGCTGGAAATGCCTAAACCCCACATCTGCTCACTGAGGAGCATGAAGAAGTTGCAACTGGTGTGAGACTAAAATTCAGCATGTGAGACTTGACTAGTCCATGTACCTGGCATGATCTTACTCTTGATGGCCATGCTTAGCCATGGTGATGTGCTGCTTTTGTCACCTGTTTAATCCACTAGTCCCTCTTACCTGAGTAGTTACTAAAACTCTGTAGCTTATCTCCTAACATTACAATAATTTGGTTTTAAAAGTGCATGTCTGACTTTGCTGGAGGAGGGCATGGAAGGATTTTCAAGTTTTTCTCATGGCTCTCTGAACTGAACAGTTCCAATCCAATCCTAAACCCACAGAAGAATATCAGAAGCAGGACTTGGTCTACAAGGAGAGCTGGTTTCCTTGAGCTTTCTGCTTTGGCTGTGTCTTCTTGCCCCAGGGCTGCTGGGTTGCAGTACCCAAAGGAGTTGGGTTTCACAGCTGGCACTTTCCCCCAGAAGGCTGAATTATGGGCTCTGCCAATGCTGGAGCACTTATGTCAATGGGGATTCATGAGCGAAATCTATCTTGCTGTCCTGGTGAGGTGGCAGGTTTGCTTATTACATCTCACTTAATCCCTCACAAGAAGTAGAGGCTTTTGATTACTGTGCCAGAGGTTGGTTAGGAAAATGAGATTCAGGTCATTTCAATTTTCATGTGACCCTTCCTCTTGCTTGCCTGGCCTGGGAAAGTTCTCAAGTTGTATCTTCTATATTTCTTTCGTAAGGCAGCTGTTTGCATGGCAGTGGCATTAAATATCAAACCCAAGGACACACACATGCAGCCAAGCTGTGTTCAGCTTCCCAGTGGCCCTCTGCCATGGTGGCTGACCAAGGAGACCCCTGGATACAGAGTGAAAGGGAGCCCCCAGGATATTTTGGCTCTGGCACTTGTTCACATGCCAGTGTCTCCATTACACTCGGATGTTCTTTGGCCTGAGGCAGTTTGACCCTTCCTGCATTTCTTGCCTTTATTATTATTATTTATTGTTATAATATACACTCATGTATTACATAGTGGTTTTTATATTAAAATAAGTCTGGTCCTACGACTAGGGGGAAAAAGTCTGTTTGCATTGGCAAAAGAAATGTTCTCTAAAATCAACCCAATAGAACCTCATGAGTTCTCTACACATGCAGAAACACAATAAAACATTTTTATTTCCTCTCTCACTGAGTTGTACTCCAGTGTTCTTCAAGGCCATTCAACTCTACAGAGCCCAGAAGAGCTGGTGAGACAGGATGTCCCTCTGGCACTGGATGACCAGGCAAACCTTGCAGGTGGCCCTTCCAACACCCAGAGCCTTCTCAGAGCAGGGACTGTGCAACCCAGCAGTAGGGCAGGTCAGCAGCCTGCCACAGGGCTACCTGCTGGCAGCTTGAACTGGCCAGACATGCAAAATTGTCCCCCTCTGCAGCATTTCTGTAGAGGGATAAGGGTGTCTGTGCTACCCCGTTCATTTCAACTACATCACTCAGATGCCAACAGGGAGCATCATCTGAAAGCAAAAGGGTGAAAGGTAGCCAGCCACGTGGGTTGGTTAAACAGGGACATGCTACTAATTGCATAGGAAAACAGGGTCTTTGGCTCCTTGGGGAGAGGAAACAGCAGCAAGGAAGGATGTTGTTCAGCTAGATCAATCTGGTTCTCCAGCTATGCCTTCTCCAAGGAGGGCAGGTATCAAAAGGGCTGGGGGCCTTCACTGGAGAGAAGCACACAGCCCAAAGGTTGGTGACCCCTGCCCAGGTATTGGGACTTACTCCATTCCCTCCCTGTCTCACAGGTCACGCTGACAGCTGAGACTGATTGCAGCTTCATCACCTGGCCGAGGAAGAAGCTGTATCTCCTCCTGAGGAAGGACCGCTACATTGCCCGGCTCTTCTCCTCCCACCTGGGCTATGACATCTCGGAGAAGCTCTACTCCCTCAATGAGAAGCTCTTTTCCAAGTTTGGCCGTCGCTTCGCCGTTTTCCCCAGCCTCTACCATGTCCTTGGGCCAGCTTCCTCCGAGGGGGAGTCAGAGGACTGCGAGGAGCTGCTGCCTGCCTCTGGCCAGGCCAGTGTCTCTGAGCCCCCTCCACAGCCACCACCACCACCACCACCACCGCCGCCGCCGCCGGCTCCACGCTCCCGGGCATCCCGGCCCGACAGTGAGCTGCTGGGTGAGGATTCCACCAGTCTTGTCTTGGAAGATTTTGCTGAGTTGCCGGGGTCTTTTATGGACTATGTGAGCGAAGGGGAGTATATGAAGTGAGGGCACTCCTGGCACGGGCACACCTCACCCTGTGTGGGACCCTCGCGTAAGTACCCACTTGCGGAAGCAAGTCTTTCCCGTGATGCAACTGCCTGGGCAGAGCAGTGGCCCCCAGCCTCTCGCCCTCATTTGCCATGGGTTTGCTCCTCCGCAGTGTTTTTTTGCCTGCTGCCCCAAGGAATCCCAGGTGGGCTCAAGGTGTGTGATTTTCTTAAGGAAAAGCAGCAGGGTACAGGCTTGACTCCAGGAACCAGCTGTACTGTGTGGTAGAAGGGCCAGTAACTTGGCCATAGGATGCTCTTTCCTGCCCAGTTCTCTCCCTATCCCGCAGGAGAGGCAGAGAAACAGAAATGGTGTCCAGGTTGGCAGGTGGCACATAAGTGCTCGCAGAGACTCCACAGGGCTCAGCTGGCTTGCCATGAGGTAGAGCTGTGCCAGGAGATACTGAGTATTGAGCTGAGGAAGACCTCTGCAGGTGAGAGAGCAGATGAAGGAGATGCTGACGGGGTAGAGACAGCTCCAGGGTTTATGGCAGATTGATAGTGAGGATTTGCTGTACACCCTGCAAGTGCCCAGTGTGCACAGGGAGAAAAAGCTCAGAGTCCTTCCTCTCTCTGCCCACCACAGTCCGACCCAGCATTTGCTCCATCCTGCTTGTTTTGACTGAGCTTTGTTTCTGCCAGATCAGTAAGGTATTGAAAAGTCTACCCTGTGTGATACAGGTCTTGTCTCCAGTCACCCCAGGTGGACTGACAGGCTAAACATTATTTTAACATGCCCCAAACTCTGCTTTCTGGTGAGTGGGAATGACATGGTCTCTTCCAAAATGCCAGTTCCTTACTCTGCAAGGGAAAAACATTCCTGTGCCTGGTGGTTATTGGGGCAGAGGAGCAATGCAGGAGAACAGAAATAGACAGGAGAGCAGCTCATGCTTGAAATTCAGATCCAAGTGGCCAAGAGAGAAATTCCACACTGAGCTACTTTTAGCCAGTCACTGCATGCCAGCTGCTACACACCAGCTGCAGACCCCAAAATGTGCATTCCCACTCCATAATAATCCAGCTGCCAGATACTAAACATGGGAGTGGGATTTCTGTCCTAGAGGTGACCACTGCAAGTGTCCCAGTTGGGTCTGCATGGCAGGGAGGAAGTTGCAGGGCTGGGCTGCAGCTGGGGAGACTGTTTTCCATCAGGCAGCCTTGAACACACCATCACACCCTGGTCTTCTCCATGCCCACTTGGGTATACCTTTCCTTGGGCTGGGGACCTGGTGGCAGGAAGCACAAAGCAGCAAAAATGACTCCTGGCATGAGCCCTGACAGGTCTGCAGTATTGTTGATGCTCTCCATGGAACATCTGTCCAGCTCAGACACCACTTGCTATTTGCAGTAGGCCTCTGGTGTAAGAGGCCTTTTTCACTGTTTTATCCAGTAGCTCTTTGTTTCTGAGAAGAGTGGAACTGTAGAATTTTTGTGTTTTGTAGGGTAGTGCTTTGAGTTGAGTCACATGCCAGTTGCTGTACAACTTCTATGACACCAAACTTAAAATCTTGGATATGAAGAAAGCAGTCAGGGAAAGAACAAATATATTTGATTTTGCCTGAACCAGATTAAAAGTCAGCAAGAGTTTTGTTTAGGGTTTTCTTGTTGGGGTTGGTTGGTTGGTTAGTTTTGTGTGGTTGGTTGTTGGGTTTTTTATTTTTAAGAAGGCATGGTGAGAAAAAGAAAAAAAAAACCCAAGACATTTGTCCTAGGAATGTGAAGTCCCTGTTTCTGCTGGTTGGCTGCTGGACATATGAATTTGCAACTTTTTCAGTCCTTACTTGGAGAGGCAGGAACACTGAATCACTGATGCAACAGCCATCCTCCTAACTGTCAGGAGAGTCTGTTGAATACATGCAATCACAAATGAATGCTAAAGTGTTGTAAACATGGTGAAGTCACTTTGTCTACGCTTTGCTTGTATTTTGCCCTCTCAGCAGAAGGCAAAATATCCATTCTCAGGTCATTGGCAGAATTCTCCTACTTGATGAAGCTCAGTAAAACCAGAATTACAAATGCAATTAAAAAAGCAAGGAGGCAAGCAACACTAGTTTTTTTTGAATAATTTCCACCCATTTTTTGGCAATGAGTCAGTGCTGTAAACATACACACAAGAGGTGTGTGTGTTGGGGTGAGCTCGTGCGACACAGCACAAAGCTATTCTTTCTTTTACACAATCCTTTTAACAGATATTGTAAGCTGGAAGCTTTTGTCTTTCTAGATCTTGTGACTGAGACAGCATCAAGGGACCTGCAATAAAAGCCCAGATGTTTAGAGGCTGGTATTTGGGGTGGGAGAGGAGGATGATCTTCCTTGTCTGACAGTCTAGAGACAATACCCAGTGTGGTATTTTAATTTTTAACGTAATTACACAAGGAAACACAAACTCTGTTTAGTGTGTTTGTAATGGTGGAATGAGTGCTTCCCTGTTACCCGGCTCACCACTTGGGTATCCTAATCCCAGCAGCACAACAGCAATGAACACACTCAAACAGTATTCCATGGTAACTTGAGTGCCTAACCACAAAAGACAGTGATACAGAGGGGCTGCAGTTTTTTCTTCTAGCCAGGCACTTGTCACAGCTCAGTGAATAACCTAAGCAGGTCTGCCATGGCCCAGGGAAAGCACTTTCGTAGCTTTTACCTTGGAAAGTGGTGAAAACATCCATAATAAACAGGGATATTCCCTGCAGTGTCATTGTTCAGAATAAGCAATTGCTGCAGTCCCAGAGGTCGGAACTCTCCTGGGGCTTTCCCCTGGTCTGCGCTCTCATCTCCTTCCCCAGCAACTTTCAACTTGGGTAATCACCTTCCAGCTCTCTAAATTCCCTAGGTTGGAGTGCTTCTATGGATCATGTTCCTTTTCCTTTTATGTCACTACAACAGCCACCTTGCAATACCACAGTGCAGGAGGGCAATTCTTGAATGCACAAAATGCTAAAAGGGCCATATAGAAGAAAATATTCCTGGGAGGTTTATTGGCCTACTATCATCTAGCTCCTTGAAAATGTTTCTAGTCTGCTTCTGAGTATTACAAACTGTGATATCCCCCTGATGAGCACATTCTCTGAGGAGGAGGCTGCCTGTTTAAAGGAGGCAAGTTTAAATGCTGTGGTCAAACTTGCTTTGACAGTATACTGCTGTATAGCTCTATGCTCCAGAGTAAACTAAACTTTATTCCCTGTGTGGAAATTCAAACACCTGCTTTTTCCCCTATTTGTACTGCATTTGTTCTAGTTTGTTGCTATCAAGTACTTGCAAGATGTGTAGCTATTGCTACCTGGTTTTATACAGTTACATCTTGAGGCTGGCTTTCTATTTGGTGGGTGAGGTGGATGGCTGGATGAATGCTTGATGGCCTGTAGCTTGGTATCTAAGTTAGTAGAAATCATTTTACACCTGCTTTGATAGCCAAATCAAGGGAATTGTGGGCTTTGTTTCACTAATGTCACAGAAGGTGCTTCGGAGGTGCTTGTTTTTGCCATCTTAGAATGAGTGCATAACCCTGTTTTTTGATTTATCACATGCCAAAGAATTACACAGTTTTGCAGTCTCATTTAGGAGGGGAGGGGAGAAGGACAGGTAATGGTGGTCTTCATGTGGTTTGTGTCTTGGAAAAGTTTGGAAGTAAAATTTATTCCTGTGATATTAATGGTGCTCTTCTCTCTCTCTCTTCCCCCCCCTCCATCTCTTCTCACCCCCCTCTCATTTTCCTCCCTTCTCCACTGCTTTCCTTCTGCAGCCTCTGGAAGCCTTCTCTGGAGTTCTCACCCTCTCTGCAGAGGACGAGCCCCTCTGGCTCCCACTCAGACCCCTGAACTCTAGGGAACAACAGGCTGTTTTGATCCCGAAGTCCCTCCAAGAGAGCAGATGCTCACACAGGATTTTGACCAGAGAGACACTCTTTAGCACGCAGAGATGTCTGCCAGCAGACATGTACACTCAGGAGCACATGAAGCACATGCTTAAGACTGCAGTGTGACACTCCAGCACCTCCCACCCCATGGTTGTTCACCAGAGCTGCCTGCCCCAGTGTGCTTCCATGGTTTGTTTTATCGTCCTGCCTCTCTGAGGTGTGTTGGCAGCTCTGTTACCAAGGTACACCGATATGGCTGCTCGCAGAATCTGTGTTCCCTTTGATTTAATGATTCCCATTAAAGTCAAAGATGAAACTACTGCTGTTTGAGGATTTGAAGAGGGAGGTAACATGGGGAGGGAGGGATGATTTGAAGAGAGAGATCGCTTGAGGTGATCTCAAGGCACAGAGTGGAAAAGGCAAGGGAAAATGGGCTGCCCTGTGGCTTTGGTAATGGGCTTGCAGTGAAGAGTTTGATGATACGCATCTCACTGAGCATCTATTCTAGTAAGACTAGAAATTATTTTTCCCGGAGTTAGGATTTCTCATTTATAACAAGCATTACTTCTCAAAGAAACTGGTGAAAAAAGACTTTTGGTGAAAGGTTGGTTGTTTGCATTGATTCGTTTGAAATAAGAAAGGGGAGGAATTGGGACTGGGAACAGGTGTAGGCAAGGAGAGCCTGAATCCTTTTTTGTGTGTGCTCAATAGAGAATGACCTCTGGGTGCATACACATCAAGTGAAGAAAGGAAGGAATATAAAACACCTGTGGAGAGAGCAGTGATTGGTAGGAAGTACAATGTCTTAGTAAAAACAGTGTGGAGGTAGAAGGCCTCTTCCAAGTTCAGCTGCAACAGGATTTGTCTACAAAGCTTCCCCAACCATTTCCTCAGTCATGAAAATGAAGATTGGAAATACCAGTGGAGGAATCCTCTGTCCCACAGAGCCTGAGGCAACCAAGGTGGGCAGTAGGGGTAGGAGCCTTTCTAGGGCAGATATTCAGGGAAGGAGCAAGGACCATCAGTTCCTCCATCAGCACAGGGCAGAGCATTCTTCAGTGTCTCTGGACATAGACAAGCAGGGGCATGGCTCTTCTGTGCAAGGGGCTGGCTTTGTGTCAGCCCTGGGCTGGTGCAGGCAGCCCTACCTGCCTTGCCCTCCTCACACAGGGGCTGTTTGGCATGTCTTGCAAGTCTCAGCTGGGTGAAATCTTGGGATCTGGTGCTCTTGACAAGGGCCTCTGGAATGGTTGGTATGCGAGATCCATGCACTACACAGCTCCTTGCACTGCTCACCTTTGCTGTCACACCAGGGTGGGAGAATAGGGCTGCCTCAGGCCTGGGATCATCCTGCTGACGGTTGTCGTCATGGTGTTTTGCTGCATTTGTGCTTCAGCCTGAACCCACTGCCCTTCACAGCTAAGGCAAATACCTCTAGCAGATTGACTTGAGAGCTGGTGGGGTCCCTTCTGCAAAGGAACTGAAATGCACAATGCGACTAGGTTGATCTGTCATGATGTTTTATACAGCTGCCTGAAGCAGTGGACAGAGCTGGACAGAGTTGGACAGAATTACACACTGCTTTTCACACATGCCTGCTGAGTTTATATTCCAGTCTTCAATAAGAAGCTCCCTGGAAACTCTTCAGTCAAGGCACGAACTAACACGGGTCTCTGTCAGGTTGTCAGGGCTCAGCTCTATCCCTCTCCTGAATGTGTTGGAGATGGTGTTTGTTAGCTTGTCTTCTAAACAGCCACATAGCAGGGCACAAAAGCTTGGATGTGAGTTGAAAGCAGGAGCTGACCCTGCTGTGGCACTGTCTAGTGGAGGAGTATTGACACCTCATGGCAAATGACTTGAGGCTTCTTCATGGCAGAAATGCCTTTAACACGTTCCTCTCTCCTGATCCTAGAGATCTTGGTGCACTTTTCTATCATCCAGTGAGGCCTGTCCAGGGAACCATAGAAAATGGTCTATAGAAGATGCAGTTTGTAGGCAGGAATGATGAAAGACTTGTCACCTCTTTAGTTTGCATATGCATCTGGTGGAAAAGGTGTGGGTGAGTGAGGGCTGTTTTTGTGTTCATGAATCTCATTGTAATCTTTCACCAATTATTTTCATACCTCAACTACGGTTCCAGGTCTGAAAGGCTGTCCTGAGTTCCTGGGACTAATTTGTGTTAGGTGACTATGATTGTCCATTCTCCTCCTATTACCTTATATTCTGGGCAGATGCTCAAAGCAGTGCAAAATTGGATGTGAGAGCATTGCAGTGCTCCTGGTGTCTGCTTCACTTCATGTGTGCTTCAGAGAGAACAAGCCAACAAGCCAACCAGCCAGAAGAGTTGCTCCATGCCCATCAGCTTTCTATCTATCTGATTACTTACTGGAGTACTAAGATGAAATCAACAGGGTCTCACTGAAGGTGTCTTGTAGATGGTACTAGTGAGTTTCCCATTGGAGAACTAGCTAAGAGTAACTCCTTCCTGTGCCGGACCTGAATTATACTGTTTCCACTTGCAGAGGAAAAACAGCACCTCTCACCTTTAATATGAAGATTACAAGACACTTTAATATAAAACACAAATGAATCATACCAATAATTCTGCTGTAAAAAGAGTGATATTTTCTCCTTCTTCTTTCATACAGATCTAAACCCTAAAATTAAATCACTTGCCTGTCCCACTTTCAGAGCTGGGTACAGAACCTGTGAGATAAAAGTTCCAATCCAGTCTTTTAACTGAGAGGTCTTGCTGTAACCAGTCAACCTTGTGCTTGCTGATCTGCCACACACTTCTTTTCCTTGACATCCTGCCCCTAGTGCAGGAAGTAAATAATCCATTCAGTTTTATGGTGAAAGTATCATCTGTGAACAGACAGCAGCAATAGGTTTAGGACTCCTTTCTAGTTTTGTGCATCCAGAAGGCAGTTCTAGGCACAAGCAGTGGGTAGATCATAGGAGATCTCTGTTTTGCTGGGGAGAGTGAGGTTCCAGGACAGACATGACATTGTCCTGCTGTGGGAAAAGCACAGAGAAGCCAGGTTGGACATTAGCAGATGGAGGTTGCTATCCCAACACAGAAGCAAGCAAGGTGCTGCATTGTAAGAATATGAGAACAGGGTGCTATGCCCTAGCTGGGATGAATTGGCTGGAAGGGTGCATATGGGGCTGTGTCCTTCACCTTTCCACTCCCTCCTCCTGGCAGCACCATTGTTGCTCTGAGTGCTCCCAGTTTAGTGATAGGAGCACAGTTGTGAACCTGTGCAACTCTACAGCTTTCTACCTTTATCAAAGTCTAGTGCTTCCAGGGGTGCAGGTTAGCACACTTTTGAGGCAATGCACCTTGCTGTCCAATTCAGAAGTGATAAAAGCCATGTATCTGCATATCCATCCCAACTTTGGAGTGAAAAACACGATGGTAAGGAACAGTCCTTATACTCAAGCAAGTGCGTGGTATATACATAGGAATGTCTTTCTTTCCTCTATCTGGGCCTACTGGATGTATTTTTATTGCCTAGGGCTTGAGTCTCCTTACTGCCCATCAAAACAGTTGTGATCCTGGTTTGCCTTCTGCTTCTGGTTTTTCCTGCTTCTGGTCTTCCCTGCTTTGAAGTACCCACTAGCTTGCTTCAGCCTGGAGTCAGCATCTCAGAAACAATGTGGACAGAATTTAACTATGGACCCAATTATTTTGCACTGCCTGCAAGAACTTTGGATCTGCAAACTCCTGGCAAGAATATTGTATTATGAAGACCATTATCTCTCTCAGGATGAGAAGGACTTGGCTGCTTTTACTCCAGGAAAGGTAACTATGGCTGAAGGTATATACTCTACAACATCTGGCCTAGAAAATACCAAAATGGTTGACTTCAGCCTTTGTGCTTTATAAACCTTTCTGTATAAGAAGCAGAAATATATTACTAGTCTTCTGTTGTCTCATCGTAAAAAATATTCACCTGTTATGTTTCAGATGGGCCCCCGTTATAGACAGAGGAAGATGGAGAGGGCAAGCAAGGACAAAAGAAATAAATTCTAGTTAGTACAGACTTTTTTGCCATGGTTTGTGACTTAAGTATCTTCAGAGTGATGTGAGTTGCAACCGTTTTCCTTCTATAGCACAACACTTTTATCCTGGGGGAAAAATTTTAGAAAACTCCAAGGTAATTACCCTGGTAGCTTTTCTCTTTCACAGACAGAAAACAAGTTACATAGGGACACAGAAGGGATGGGAGAGATCTCTTGACATGTTTATCTAAACAGGAGAAAGAATGCATTGTTTCAAACTATAGGCTGCATCCATAGGCTCAGTGTATCCCTGTAAGATATTGCTGTGGCTTACCTGCTATTGAGAGGGAGTGGCGCTATGCATAACTTGCCAACAATGAATGGCTCATCCTTTTTCCAAAATCGATTCTTGGGGAGATACTTCAGTGTCACATTGTCTATCTGGCAGAGGGGAACCCGGTGGGCCAGCAGCCGTCTGCCCATCTCCTGATGCTTAGGTCTGCAGGGTGGGGTGAGAGATGTGGGGGAGAACATTCAGTCAACATGCAGGTGCAGGCCATGTGCAGATTCTTGGAAACGCTGGAGGAACCTGTAGTATTATTGTGAAGTCCTCACATATTAAAATGGAGTGAGAAGACTCATCTGTCAAAACAGGGCATTGCATGAGAGTCTTCCTGGCTGTCTCTCCATGTTTTATTTCTGTAATCAGGAATATTTGTGTATAAATATTCTTCCTTCCATCACCCAATTAAAACTAGTCTTCTTTGAATATAGGTTGAAACACTGCTCAGCTTGCTATAGAGAGGTAAGTGATAGAAAGAATGGTGTGGGCAGGGATCAGTTGTTCACCATTTCTTCCAGTACATGATCTAAGAGTCATCAAAGAAAGCTAAGAGGTGGCAGGCTCAAAAAAGAATACACACTGCACAGAGTACCATTCGTTTTGAGCTATTGAACTCCTTGC